ATGATCACCAAATTGGGGAAAACAGGCCTTTGTGTGGCAAATATCTTTTTCAGTTTGTTATTTTCACTTTACTTCTTGGTCTTTAGTCCACAAAGGTTATGAGGCCTACTTTACCCATCTTCTCCTTCATAGCTACTGAATCTCTGCTCTGTTCACAAAGGCCTTCCCTAATCTCTGACTATGAATAAATTCACCTACATTTTCCTGTAAATTTTTATGTTTTCAATTTTTATGTAAATCTTTGAGCCATTTGGAATTTGTCTTGGTGTAAAAATGAAGTAGAGATTCAGTTTAAGATTTTCCCAAATGCTTAGCCAGTTGTTCCAGTGCCGTTTGTCAGATAGTCCCCTTTTCATTTTCATTCTTTTTCCAGTCCTTGGGGGCCCCCTGGCTCGATATAGTCACCAGAGTGGAGCCCACATACGTGCAGCGTTGCTTGAACCAAGTCTGCCGGAGACAGACCAGGAAGGCCTCTGTTATCAAGGCGGAAGAGAGTCGGGTCTCAGGGATGGAGAGGGCACCACGGCTCTGCTGGCCATGAGGGCACAATAGTCTCCCAGTCCATGTGGCCGGCCTGGTGGCCCAGCGGTTAAGTTCACACGTTCCTCATTGGGGGCTGGGGTTTGCTGGTTCGGATCCCAGGTAAGGACATGGCACCGCTTGGCACGCCATGCTGTGGTAGGCGTCCCACATATAAAGTAGAGGAAGATGGGCACGTATGTTAGCTCAGGGCCAGTCTTCCTCAGCAAAAAGTGGAGGATTGGAGGAAGATGTTAGCTCAGGGCTAATCTTCCTCAAAAAAAAAAAAAAGTCTCCCAGTCCTGAGAGAGAAGTGAGACACGCATCCAAAGTCTTCTTTCTGAAGGAAAAAGAAGAGAAAGAAAAACCTTAACCACACCTGTATTTTTTAAAACACACACTCTACACATATACATACCACATACATACACACACCACTCACACATCAGAAACACTGAGTTTCTCCAGCAGGGGGCACCCAGTCCTAAAGAGCCCTCTCAATCGCAGGCACTCTAAGAACGGGAAAGCTACTGTTTCACAAATAATATCCAGATTCCTTTTAAAGGAAATAAATCCAGAAGACCCCCAAGAATCTATCTGCAAGTTCCCAATTTGAGAAAAAAAGCAAAGAAACCAAGTCTTGTTCTATAAAGATCCTCCAATTGCAAGTTGACACATGTTTAAAACTGCTAAAAAGACGTCATCATTGAAATGAAAATGTGAATTTTAAAAATTTTCCCAGAATTAAAAGACCCGCAAGAACAGAGCTGCAGACCCCTGGGGTGGCGTAGGGAAGTGAGAAAGTCTGGTGTGCGGCATCATCACGTAGCAGATGTACAATTTAACATCTTTCCTCACACGTGAGTAAAGCAAGCCTTTCTCCTTCTCTTCTTTCTTCTGTTTCTGCCTCTCCTGGTTCAGCAGGCCGGGGCTCCAGGCAACCAATTGTGATCCCCCCTCCTTTTACCTGTTCCTTAATCCCTTTGCGTTTCTCCAGTAAAAATAGTTTACAATTTTTATTGGGAAATTTTAAAAATTATTATAAAAGTAGACAGTTTAGAAAATGCACAATTTTTTTTAATGCAAAGCAACCCCCTCACCCTGAGAGACCATATTCCTTTAAGTTGTGAGGGCCTTCCTCATGCCTTTCTCTTTGCTTGAGCATTTTCCAGTGAATACCCAGCAAGGGCCAGTGCAGTCACACAGCACACCGTTCCCCTGTGGGCCCCCAGGCCCCGGGCTGACCTGGGAGCTCTGTCTCAGCTCTCAGAGGGTGGAGCTGTGGACAGGATGGCCTGGAAGAGACCTGATGCCAGTTTCCTGCAGTGCCCTCCCAGAAGTGCTGTTTCCTCCTTACTGGAGACTCCCCACGTTAGAGGAGACTGGAATGCGAGAGGGAGTTGCTCAGAGCCTCCCAGCCCAGCTCTCTCCCCTCCCTGCTCAGGGCCCAGCTCTGTGGCTCAGGGTCCAAAACCATAACCTTGGGCCAGGATAGGTCCCTCTCTGGTCAGCAGCCTGGCAGGTGACTAAGGCTGGAAGGCCCAGAAGAAGGATCCCAGCTTCCTTCCTGGCTCTGTCCTCACCAGGCTGTGTGACCTCCGACAGACCCCCAGCCTCTCTGAGACCCACACCCCACTAAAGAATGTCGCAGTGGGCTTCTCTGCTACACTGGGAGCCCGGGAGAAGGAAGGGGCTTGAAGGGTTTCAATGCCCAATGCCACGACCTCTCCTTCCCTCGGAGCCATATGCCCACACACACACACCTCTGATGGCTCTCCCGCCTCCTCCAGCTCCCTCCCCATTTTCCCTCACACAGGTAATCCTGTCTCATAGGACCCGGACTAACACACTAATTAGGTAAAATGCAAATAATAAGTAAGGCCCAGGTTTCTGCCTGTCGCTCCTTCTTCAGAGGTACAGATGCACAGTCAGTTATAAAACCTGCAGGACATATTCAGGACGGTCTGACTCAAAATACAGGCTAAGTAAGCTACACAAAATTTATTTTTCAGGTCCCAGGGGTCCCTCAAACAGCCAGGCTGTCATCCTTCAGAGAAGCTGAAACCAAGACACAGTGAGAGACCTGGGTCACGAATGTTAAGAGAAGGAACAGACACGCCTCAAATGGAAGGTCAGCTGGCAGCCTGAGCTGCCTCTCCTGCGGGCAACCCCAGCTCTCCTGGGTGAGCAGCGGCACCCAGTGGTTAGTTAAAGGCGGTTAACAGTTCTCCCAAGGAGCACCAGGCACAGCTGGCATGTGACCATCTGGGTCCTGGAAGAAGTCTGGAAGGACACACACCGGTGCAGTGACTGGCAGACTCTCTGGGGATTGCGGTGATGGGGACGCTCTCATGTTTCCTATTCTTAAATTCTTTATAATGGTGTGTTTAAGCAGAAAAAATGGAGATATTTCCATTTTCTAAAAGTTATTTGAGAATATGGAAATAAGGTGGTCGGTGCAGCTGCAGTAGCCCGGGCGAGCTCCGTGGAGACAGACGGCTGGAGCTAGGCCTCCGAGGGTCGGGAGATCCAGAAGGACGCTGACCACACGTGCTCTGGAGAGTCGGCGGGAAGCTGCATTCACGACTGTGAGGGCCCAGGGTCTGAGGGAAGGACAAGAGTGTTGAGGCATGAATTTAACTAAGGACATCACTTGGAGTTCAGGACACCCGCTGGTCCAGGCTGGATGGAGCAGGGTCAGTGGGGTCAAGTCCATCCCAGTCCCTGAGGTTCTCCTTTTCTCAGGGGTGGCCCTGGGCTGAGAGGGTGGGAGCCAGAGAGATGAAGACTGAGGAAGAGCCTAAGTAATTGGGGTCTGGATACCTCGCCCACCCCCAGCACATGCTCCAGGCCCAAGGCCCACTGACCTGTGACCCCAGGAACAGACCCATGGGCTCCTGTGGATGCCTCCACAATTCTTCCCCAAGCCAGGCTGCCAATGTCAGGCTGGGGGCCAGTAAGACTGGGGTGCTATGGGGTGGGCAGCGGGTGAGGAGGATGGAAAGATAAAAAGACAGGAAGGGGCAGCAACACAGAGAGAGGGACAGACAGAGAGACACACGGAACTCAGACACACACACTGAGGGACACAGAGAGTCACACACACACAGAAAGGTAGAGTTTGAGAGACAGAAAGGGACAGAATGAGCGAGAGACAAAGGGAGGGAGACAGAGACAGAGAGAAGTTAAGGGCAGGGCCTACGGTGCACTCATTTGCTTCCTAGGAGCAGACAGGCAGGCAGCTGCCGGTCAAGAGGTGGGCAGAGCTGGGGCTGGCCCTGTGGCCGAGTGGTTAAGTTCGCGCGCTCCGCTGCAGGCGGCCCAGTGTTTCGTTAGTTCGAATCCTGGGCGCCGACATGGCACTGCTCATCAGACCACGCTGAGGCAGCGTCCCACATGCCACAACTAGAAGAACCCACAACGAAGAATACACAACTATGTACCGGGGGGTTTGGGGAGAAAAAGGAAAAAAATAAAATCTTTAAAAAAAAAAAAAAAAGAGGTGGGCAGAGCTGACAGGGCCAGAGAGGAAATAAAGGGGGTCTGAGCATCAGCGTCACAGAGAACAAGTGCTTGCTGTCACTTGCTGTGTGCTTAGTGTCACACTGGATGCTGCAGGGAACAAAAAGGGGCAGGTCCAGGTCCCTGCACTAGTTGGGACATCCATCCCCCACACCTGAGAAAGGTTAATAACAGGCCAAGGCGGCCTTTCCAAGGGCTGAATGGGAGGAAGAGGCTCCCATGGAGCTGAGGTCACCAGGACAGTCTGGCTTGGTGACCAGGCTACATCTGAACTGCCTCTTGAAGAGCAGGTGGGAGGAAGGGGCCCTGGTTTTCAGTGGGAAGGATGGTGTCAGCAAAGGTGTGGAGGTGGGAAGACATGTCTGGGTTCGGTTAAGAGGGCCTTGAACGCCGAGCTAAGGAAGCTGAGGGAGCCCCCCTCACCCTTGAGCTGAGGAGTGACGTAGTGGAGACCTGGGCTGGCCAGGGGCCAGGCCTGGAGGGCAGTGGAATAAAATGGAGGAGAGGGTTGCAGGCACCTACTGACCCCTCCAGTCCTCTCTCCCGATACCCACTGTCTGCAAGCCCGGACTGCTGGCCCACATCAGGCCTCTTCTCACCTCTGTGCCTTTGCCCGTGCAGTGCCCTCTGCTGGAAGGCCTTCCCTTCCACCACTCCTATCACTGGCAAACGCTGAAACGTGGTTTAAACTCTTCTCAAGGATCTTCTCTGTAGGAAGCCTCGGGGAAGGAAGGGTAGGTGCCCCCTAGCTCCTTCCAGCATGAACGCCAACGTGAACTCTCCCGGGGCTCAGCTCAGTCCAGTCATGTGTTTCGCAAAGACCAGAAAATATAATTGATTCCATCAGTATCTTGGCCTTACCACACCCAGAATTTGCCTGTCCCTCACGGGAAGCCCCACCAGCTGTCAGATCTCAGTATCCAAACCCTGAAGAGAGGAAGGAACGGGCTGGGAGGGATGGAACGACAGGGTGGGGCGCATTTGCCTAGAGGTGCTTTGGGCTGGCTGCTCATGGAGCAGTGACTCATTCCCCCAGAAAGGCGGGGCGTGGCACTGGGGGACACTCGGGCTGGGCAGGGCAGCCTTGGTGGAGACAGCCTGCCTCCGCCTTACATCCTTGGCTGGACCCCAGGAGGCTGGGCTGGGGACTGGACACCACCTCCTCCTCGTCCCCTCAGGCCCTTGGAAGAGAAGAGAGAACCTCCTGCAGGCTCCCAGCTTACACCCGGCGTGGGCTGGCGTTGGCCAGGAAGGCGGCGGAAGCCTCTCTGCCCCCCTACCCCACGACGGCTACCCCCCACCCAGGCCAGGCATGGATAAATTCCGCATGCTCTTCCAGCACTTCCAGTCCAGCTCCGAGTCGGTGATGAACGGCGTCTGCCTGCTGCTGGCTGCGGTCACTGTCAAGCTGTACTCCTCCTTCGACTTCAACTGCCCCTGCCTGGCCCGCTACAACGCCCTCTACGGCCTGGGCCTGCTGCTCACACCCCCGCTCGCCCTCTTCCTCTGTGGCCTCCTTGCCAACCGGCAGTCCGTGGTGATGGTGGAGGAGTGGCGCCGGCCCTCGGGACAGCGGAGGAAGGACCCGGGAGTCATCAGGTGCGGTCCCACACCACCCAGCTGCCCATGGGCATTGTCAGGGGCTCCCCCACCCACTTACCCCCGCAGGCACTGCCAGGTGACCCCCAAACCCCAGTGACCCCCATGGGTATGGTTGGGGCTCCCCCTCCACCCTGACAGGCACTATTGGATGTGCCCCTTCCTTTCCTCAACTGGGGCACCATCAGTTCAGAGACGGGTTTGCCGGTTTCCACTCTGGAAACAGATATTTCTGTTCCTGTCACTTGTCACCTTTCTGTGACCAGTGCTGGAGACACATGCATGATACAGGATTCCCAAGAATTAGCCAGGTCACATGTGTCATACTGGCCATGGATTACGACTCACCACACACACGAAGGCCATCCCATGACACACCTTGGAGGTTGTGCAGGTAGTGAGAGGCATGATTGGCTCAAAGGCGAGTCCCTTCTGTGAGCTTCCTGAGGGCAAGGACCTCATCTGTCGTACTGCTGTGTCCTCAGAGCCTTGCACCTGATTGGTGCCCTAGATCAAGATCAGAGGAGGGAGTTTAGCAATTTGTAATGCTCCCTGGCTGACAGTGAGCACCGGCTCGGTGCCAAGCTCTGCGCCAAGTGCCGTGTGTGCACAGCCTCTGCATTCTCACCTCAGCCCTGGGTCTGCCCCTGGGATGGACCCTTTGTTTTGGTTTGGTTTTTTTTTTTGCTTGAGGAAGATTCGCCCTCAGCTAACATCTGTGCCCATCTTCCTCCACTTTGCTTGCGGGATGCCGCCACAGCGTGACTGATGAGTGGAGTATGTCCGCATCCAGGATCCGAACCCACGAACCTGGGCTGCAGAAGCAGAGCACGTGGAACTTTAACCAGTAGACCACAGGGCTGGCCCCTCTAATGGACCCATTTTTAAGGATGAGGGACCTGAAGCACAGAGAGGTTAGGTGACTTGGCTGAGCTCCCACAGCTAAGAAGCGGCTCAGATTCAAACACAGGCAGACTCCCAGCTCAGGCAGGAACTGCTGCCCTTAGTGTTTTGGACAGAGTATCTGAGTGCTCTAGATGTGTGGGCAGTGGCAGGAGGGGCTTGGTGGGTTTCAGCCCCTCATGATCTCCCACTCTCCCCTATTCTTCGACATGGACGGTTGTGGTGTTCTCAAACATACGTAATGTAACTTCACAACGAGTCCTCAGTTCCACCTTCTAACCACATCGCCCCCACAGAAAATGCTGGAGCCACCCCTGTCTACAATATATTTATAATTTACACTGGGTAAGTACACTGTACTACACCGCATAGACACACACACACACACACCCAGCACACACCATTTTATGTTTCATATACAATGCAAGTTAGAAACAACTTGTGCATCCTGTGCACAAGCAGCCTCTGTTTGACGTTCCACTGGGGTCCATTCTCCCTGTCACACAGCCACACAGGGGGTCACATGCACTGGGTGTGCCCTTTGCCTTTTCCTCTGGGATCCAGCAGGCGCAGCTCCACTGGGCTCCTGTCCTGTGACCGATACTCAATCTAGGCCACGAGAGGGGCCAAGTAGGTCAGGAGAGGCATCTGGGGACAATGAGAGGGTGGGCTCCCCGGATGCTGGGGGGAGGTGTTTGAGGTGCTGCTGCTGGGAGCGTTATTATGCCGGGCTGTCTAAGCCTGGCCTCCCCCAGAAGCAGGCTCTGGGAAGAATGTGACCATGAACAGGCATCTGGGGCTCAGTCTTTCTGGGGACCCCCTGAGAGGTGAGTAGAACACACCTCAGAATTGTCCCACTGAGGGGCTAGGAAGCTGGGGTGTTCATCCTCCAGGCCCCGTCCCTCCCGGGTAGAAGGTTGGTTTGGGGGCTGGTAACTCTCCAGCAATTCTAGCCCACCCCTCTGGGAGCAGAGACTTTTCCCAAACCCTCAGAGAGGGCCACGCAGGTGGTTGGGATCGGAGGCCCTCAAGCCCTCCACGTGAATAGAAACTATCCACCAGTGGACCCACAGAGTCAGCTACGAGGCCTAGAGTGGGAAGAACACCAGCTCCCCAGAGTTCCCGTCCTGGGATTCCTGCCCTGCGCCCCTCTCACCCCTCGCCCTTCCTTTGATGTAATGGCACCTGGGATATTTTGCAGCTCTCCTGGGAAGTCCATCCTTGCGTCTCCCCTGCTGCAGCTGAATTCGGGCTGCCCGTGGTGACCCCTCCCCTCCTCTGCTCCCAGGTACATGTGCTCCTCTGTGCTGCAGAGAGCGCTGGCTGCCCCCCTCGTCTGGATCCTGCTGGCCCTCCTTGACGGGAAGTGCTTCGTGTGTGCCTTCAGCAGCAACGTGGACCCCGAGAAGTTTCTGGACTTTGCCAACATGACCCCCAGCCAGGTGCAGCTCTTCCTGGCCAAGGTACCCTGCAAGGAGGATGAGCTGGTCAGGGACAGCCCTGCTCGAAAGGCAGTGTCTCGCTACCTGCGGTGCCTGTCACAGGTAATTCGGCATCCTCTGCCAGCCCTGGAAAACATCCTACAATGGTCCCGAGGGGCATGGGCCTAGGCGCTTCAGGTTTCCTGAGGTCCCACTCCACTGCTGGAGACACAGTCAAGGAGCAGGTGGGCCCCGGGGAGATCAGGAGTATGACCCACATACGGGACAGTGTTGGGCCTTAGGAAGTGGGCACTTTGTCATCAGTGCTGACTCCATGGGCAGAGACGAGGTGCCCACACCTCCAGGAGTCAGCTAGGCCCATCCCCAGAAGGCTGGATGGCAGGAAAGTTCTGGAGGTGTACTGCTCTGCCCTGCCCCCCACCCCATGCACACATTCTTCCCACCCCTCAGAAATAATACTAATTCCCACCTATTGAACTCTTATGTGTCAGGCCCTGTGTCAAGCATCTCATCTATTACTTCCTTTAACTCACAGAACAACCCTATCAGCTGGAGGCAATCATCACCCCACTTTGCAGATGAGGAAACCGGGGCTCTGAAAGGTTCGTTCACAAGGCCAAAGTCACACAGCTTGTAAGAGGCAGGGCGGGAATCTGAACACACATGTCAGTACTCCAAACTCTCTTAATGACCTCTGTACAAAGCAGGTTCTCCCCAGAGGCCTGGCTCCCCACAGGGCACCAACTCCCCTCTCCTGGGGGCAAACCCCAGCCCCAGACTCAGATTCCACCACTCCCCCCCCAGAGCCCCAGCTTGGGCTGTGGCCCCCAGAGAGCGTTTCCGTGAACCCACACATGCAGAGCCTCACTGGGGCCACAGAGAGGAAAACACAACCCCGCCCTTTGCCGTGCCGAGACAGGCTCGTGGCAAGCGCAGGCCGGCGGCACAGTGCAGGGGGGCGCCAGTGTGCAGGACGCGCTTGATTCTGGGTCAGACTGTGACCTTGGCCACCTCCCTCTCCCTCTGGGCCTCTGTTTTCTCCTGCAAAATAAAGGGAGGTGTGGTCTCCTCCACCTTGATGGTCCCTGCGGGCTCCAGCACTCCAGGCTCTCACTAGTTCACTGGGAGGAGTGTGGAATTGGCCATCAGACCAGGGTTTGAGTCCTGACTCAGCTGTAAGCGATCAGTCACGTTAAATTTAACAAGTTGTTTGCTTTTCTGCTCCTTGTGTATAAAAGGTTCGCGTGAGTATTTTAAATCGGTAGGGGAGGGATCCTGTGACAGGCCAAATGAAGGAACTTTATAAATTGAGGACATCCCATCTACAAATGACAAGGGTCCAAATATGTTTCTGCTTGTGGCTCAGAGGAGCGACTTCTCTGCTCCAGGTCCACACCATGGCTCTGGTCTTAAACAAGGCCTTGCAGAGACTATAGCTTTGGATGGGCAGACAGGAGGAGGGGATCAGCGTAGTGTGGGCTCCAGCCTTAGAGAACAACGTCCTGTCTCTTGTCACTCTTGGCCTGGAACACTGTTCTCCGTTTGTATCCTGTCTAACTGTTACTCATCCATCAGGTCTCAGCCTAAACCTCGCTGTTTGCTGAGCCCTCAAGTTCAGGTTGTGTGTCCCTCTGAATACCCATGACTCCCTGTACATCCCTCAACATGGCACTTAGCCAGCATCACCTGTTTAATTGTTCCCTCCACTAACAGGTGAGCTCTGTGGGAGCAAGACTGGGTCCCCAATGCCTCCTCCCAAATACAAGATGGATGGATGCACAGATGGGATGGACAAATATGTGTGAGGATGGATAGAGTGCTGGATAGAAAGATGAAAGGAGGATGGATGATGGAGGACGGATGGATGGATGGATGGATGGATGGATGGGAGTGTAGGGAAAGCAAAACTTTACCTCTACCCATCTTAGGTTTTCAGCTAAGACTCTAACAAAAAGCCAAAATTACAAGAGGAAACAGTTTATTAAGGTATGCAGTGCACATCACAGCCCAGGGTTTTGCTGGTTCAGATCCTGGGTGCAGACATGGCACCATTCGTCAGGCCACCTTGAGGTGGCGTCCCACATGCCACAACTAGAAGGACCCACAACTAAAATATACAACTATGTACTGGGGGGATTTGGGGAGAAAAAGCAGAAAAAAAAAGAAGAAGATTGGCAACGGTTGTTAGCTCAGGTGGCAATCTTTAAAAAAAAGTAACTCAAAGTAGTGGCTTAGATTCTCGCTTATATAGCATCTTCAACAAAGAATAATACCTTTGTAGAGAAATGACAGGACAAAGGAAAGCGGGTTTAGACTTCTAAGGGTAAAAACTGTGGGAAGGTAAATACATGGGAGGAAACGGAGTAAGGTTTGTTTGCAGATTCCTCTGGCGCCTCTCTAGGCTGATAAAAGAGTCTGTCTCCAATAAAAGCAGAATTTATATCCTGCCTTTAGCAGAAAAGGGGAGGGTAGAGACAGCTTTTCCTATCTTTGCTGCTTCTTAATTGTCTTCAGCTCAAGATAATTCTTATGTCAAAGAGGCATGCTTTGGGGTGACCTATTCTGGTTTCCTTCAGGGGGAAGGTTGGAAGGATGTATGGGTGGGTGGATGAATGGTTGGAGAAATAACTGGAAGGAAGGGATGAGAGTATGAGAAGATGAATGGATGGGAGAATAGATGGCTGGACAGGAGGATAGATGATGGGCAGATGGAAGGATGGTTGAAAGGATGGCTGCATAGGAGGACAATAGACATATAGTCAGATGAGAAGGTGGATGACAATGGATAGATGGAGAGAGAGTTGGATAGATGAATGGATGTGAGGATGATGGAATGAATGGAAGGAAGGATGGGTGGAGATGGTTGATAGGATGGATGACTAGGTGGGAAGATGAATAAATCTGAGGAAGGATGGGAGGGGTAAGTAAAGGGAGAGACTCTGGAACACCCTTGCCACACCCTACAGCCCCGAGGCCTACCTACACCCTATCTCGCACTCCCCACTCTCCAGGCCATCGGCTGGAGCATCACCCTGGTGCTGATCATCGTGGCCTTCCTGGCTCGCTGCCTAAGGCCCTGCTTCGACCAGACAGTCTTCTTGCAGCGCAGATACTGGAGCAACTACGTCGACCTGGAGCAGAAACTCTTCGACGAGACGTGCTGTGAGCATGCGCGGGACTTCGCACACCGCTGCGTGCTGCACTTCTTCGCCAGCATGCAGAGCGAGATGCGGGCACGGGGGCTGCGCCGGGATGCTGCGAGCAGGGACCCCGAGACCCCCGAGGTGCCAGAGCCCCCTGAGGGCCTGGATGGTGGAAGGGAGAAGGCCCACCTGCGCTCAGTCTGCAGCCAGGAGCAGGTGGACCACCTCCTGAGCACCTGGTACTCCAGCAAACCGCCCCTCGACCTCATGGCATCCTCTGGGCTCTGGGGGGGTGGCCTCAGCCACCGCACCCCCATGGTGGCCCCGAGTACAAGGCTGTCCCAACACACCGACGTGTAGGGACCCCGGCAGCGTCCCCATGTGAAATGCCCACGCTGACAAGGGTCGGGGCTTTCGAGACTGTGGGGCCCCCAAGGCAGGGCAGCCTAACCCTTGTTGGCCATCTTCCCAAAAATAGCCCAATCCTGGCCTCGTTTCTGGGGTGGCCTCCTGTGCGCTCTAAAGCAGTGCTCCACAAACTGATGTGCTCACGTTCACTTGGGCTCTTGTTAAACTCAGATTCTAATTCAGTTCATCCAGGGCTGGGTCTGAGACTGCAGTTCTGACGAGCTACCAGGTGATGCTAATGTTTCTGGTCAGCGGACCAAACTTTGAGTAGCAAGAGTCTAAGTAGATCTGCCGTGGGTTCTGGGTCCTAGATGTCCAGATTCTAAAATAAAAATAATTCTAAATATTCTAAAATAAATAATATAATAACAACAGCAACACATGCTTATCTGGTGCTTACTATGTGCCAGGTGGTGTTCTCGAGTCTGTCAGTTTGCCCTCTAGTTTGTGTATTTGTGTTTAATGTTCTGGTTGGGTTTCCGGCAGCTTCCACCTAAGTTCTCTGAGTAAGCCCTGGCAAGCTCTGCTTGTTGCATTCCTCTCAAAAGTCCTAATTAGTGCCTCTTGCTGGCTACTGCAGATGAATAGTTTTCTATTTTCCTGTATTTGAATGTCAAGGAGGCTGACTCTTCCAACTCCCATCTTCCTAAGTGTCACCAATTCTGTTTCTTGTTGAGCAGCCCTGCCTGGGTGGCCTCCTTCCAGATGCAGCTCCTTTCTCGACCCAGCCTTCTGCTCACCTCCAGCTAGCAGGCGTTGCCTCCCTCACCTTTCCGCTCACCACCATCCCCACCACCTGCAGCCTGACCCCGGAGTTCAGCATCTCTTGCTAAGGCTGCCTCCTTCCCCACGCATTCCCAGGGGTATCTACCCCCTGCCCTCGGCAAGAAGTGGCACCCCAGTGGGGATTTCCCTGCTGTATGGTGTATGGGCCAGATCAGCAAATCGTGGTAGGGACGGACCTAGAAATCTCCATGCTGAACAAGCACCCCAGGTGATTTTGTAAGTTCCAATGTTGAAGAACCTCTGGGCCACGTGTGGGTGTGCGGTCTGGCTCAGGGATGAAAACCCTTGAAAAACTAGGGTTAAATTTTGTTGGAAAAATGCCCACTCAATCTCTGGCAGCCCAAACAGGAAGCGTTGGGGAAGATCAGGTCTGTGGGTTCCTCTGCCCCTCCCTGATGACTCACCATACACACACAAACACACACACACACACACACACACATCCTGCTATAGCCTCCATCAGCACAGATGCTGACCACAGACATGCAGGCCTGGGTTCATCCCATGTTTTCCTGATCCTCAGGGCCTGGGGTGGGACAGGGAACAGTGCAGGGGCCCCTGGATGCACCCTGGAGCCAGCCCCCTCCATATCAGGTAGTCTCTGCTCACCTGGGTTCTTACCAAGGGACCTTGTAAGAGCAGACAATCCCTGCCGCTCAGCCTCCCCCCTCCACCTGCTGTGGTCAGGCCATGCAAATGTCTGAAATGGCACTGGGGTGGGGCCAGATTTAGGCAAAGTGTTAGCAGGGATTGGGTGGGGAGGGAGGAAGGAGACCTGGGGGTGGCCCAGTCAGTACTGGTGAGCTCCCAGCCTGGGGAAAGGAGGCTCAGGTGAAACCTGCCAACAGTTAGCCATTGATGATTAAGTAGCTAGAAACTAAAGGGTCTTTTTCCTTTTTGCAATTATTGATTATAGCTTTTAGCTGTTTACCCACCCATCGTTAACTGTGATGTTCAGGCAATATACTGACTCCCACTAGGTTCCTATAGATAACGTCTCCCTGGAGCCTGGGTCACCATGGTAATGGGTGTGTGAGCTGTGCTTCAGGAATTAGGACCCCTTGTTCACTTCAGGCCAGTTGAGAGCACCAGCCCATCAACTGGGCCCACACAGATGTCTGATAAGCGACCCTTTGACATCAAGAGGCTAAAACTCCACCCTCATGTCATGCTAATGCTGCCATTTTGTGAACATGCATCCTATGAAGAGGCAAGGAGTCCAACTACTCTTGCGCACATCATCAATTACCTTACCTCTCCTCACCTGCAATCATCTATCTCCACATTTCAGACCACCTTGCCCCCTACCCCACAAATGTCCCTGAGTCCCTATTTTCGGGAAAGTGAATTTGAGATTCGTTCTCCCCTTTCCTCACTTGGCTGCCTTGTGATTAACCCTGTCTCTGCTGCAATCTTGAAGTCTTGGTGTTTGGCTTTCCGGGCAATGGGCAAAAATGAACTTGGTTCGGTAACACAGGGACCCCTACGTTGGGCTTAGGGACCCGTAAAAAGCCACTGGCTTCAATCAGCACTCTTGCCTTCTTCTGAGCACTTACAGAGTAACTACTGCATAGAAAGTACTGTGCACAAAATAACCAATAACCGTTTTATAGATAAGAGAGAGAAGGTCAGTTTTACTTGAGCCAGGCTGAGGATTATTGTCGACGAAAATAATCCATAACCTATAAATGAAAATTTGGATGAGTTTATTCTGAGCTGAAATCTGAGGACCATGGCCCGGTGCCTTTCTTCCCAAAGGAAGAAAGGGCACCCAGGAAGTGAGGTATACAGAGTGGTTATATACCCTCATACAGGACGTTTCACATATGATTGAAATGTCCCTCCCACAGTAGTCACAAGATTGCCCTGTCAGCACAGCGCATGATGGACACAGCAGGTAGGGGGTCTGCTATCTCGGTGGGCGTAGCAGGAGGCGAGCCTATTGTCTCAAGCTGGATGGTCACAGGTGAGCGCAGCAATCAGTTCCTAGCCTCAGGAAAGATGCTTAATCCTTAAGGGAATGCCAACGTTGGGAGGGGGAGGGAAGTTGCACCTTTATCTCAAGGGCCTTTGCTCTTGCCATAGGGAATATCTAAAGCAGATATACAATGCATGCTCAACAGCCACGGTCAGGCCCTTTTGGAAAGACAAGGTCAGGCCGAATTAGGTTTATACCAAATGGCTTCCTCATATTCTCCAATATATGCTATTGCTTGCCATTTTTATTTGTCAGCTTCCTTTGAATGGGTCTCGAAGGATGGGGAGGGTTTTGACAAGTGGAGGGAGAGATGGGGGTCGGGGGACAGAGCACCTAAAGGGAAGAAACAGCAAGAGCAAAAGCATAAAGTTGGGAAAGTCACAACGCGTGTTTCATTTATTCATTCAACAAACATTGATGGAATGCCTAGAGTGCCAGAGAGCAGGACAGACATAGTCCTATCTTAATGGAGCTTCTGGTCTGGAGGGGAGCTAGGACATGAGCTAGTGAGCCAACAGCCAAGTGGAGGAGTGCGAAGTCCAGCCTGGCAAAAGGAAAGGACCTTGGCCAGAGGGCTGAGAAGCCCAGTCCAATGCATCCCACCAAGAGATGCTCCCTGTTCCCTGCATCCAGTGACACATTCTCAGGATCCTTTGCCCTTGACAGCCCTCAAATGCATCCCCATCCTCTTCAGTCCCCAAATGATGTGGTTTCACCCCTAAACCTCTTTGCCTTCGTCCATCCACACCATTAATCATCCATATGCGCTGAGAGGGAGATGCCTGGAGCAGCACATGCCACCATCTGGGAGTGAGGGACACAAGGGCGAGGCTTCCACCTGCTCCTAAAGACCCTCCCCTTGGAAGAGAGCAGCTGTGGGGTGCCAAGCACATTCCCCAAAGCCTCAGCAACTCTGGGTGATAACCCTCCTGGCCCTGCCCTACACATAAGCCCTCTCTTCTGAGTGACACAGTGGCCAGCTGGGCAAGGCAGAAATGTCCTGGAAATGTGGCTTTGGCTGTGTAAGTCCCCTGTCTCACACAGCCTGGGCAGCTGTGGTTCTGCAGGAGAAGGGGAAGATGGCAGGAGCCTTGAAGGTTTAGCTCAGCACTTTGACTTTATCCTGCAGACAGTTGGAATGGGAGGCAAGTGCTTGCGGGCAAGGTCAGGAGGGGTGATACTTGGGATTCATCCACGTGACAGCCATGCCTGAGGCTGCAGGAACGGAAAGGGCCAGCAAGAGAGAGAGGCTTGAGTGGGAAGAGGAAGGACCAAGACTTTTAGAGTTTTGGAGGACGAAGAGGAGCCGTCACAGATGATGAGGATCAAGGCTGTCCCAGGAGAGAAGCCCAAGGCGTCCTGCCCTACATGTGATCTACAGCATCCTCTGGGATGTCCTGGCCTGATCTGACCTGATTCCCATCCAGAGTTATAGGACCACCCGATAACCAGACCCCACCTGCACTGACACCATTTTAATGGCTTTTTTACATAATCTTGCCTTTGTCTTGTAAAGCGATAACTCACATACCTATGCTTTATAAATTTAGCCCTACCTACCTTCAACCCATGCTGCCGCTCTTCACTGCCCATGGGTCCTGTCCCCAGGCTGCTTCATGCTATTCTCTGAATAGAGGAGCACTGCTGCCAGACCTTGAGGGTCCGAGAAATCTTTCTTTCAACTCCTTGGCTTACCGAGCCCGCAGCAACAGAGGCAAAGAGCCCAGAAGAATGCCAGGGAGGAGTGAATTTCAAGATGGGGGAAGGATGAGCAATAAATGCGGAGCTTCAGAGAGACCCCGGAGGGGGAGCATTGAGAGAGAATCATTGCTTATTGGTGAATGCCCAGGGCAAGGGACGGCTCACCCGGGGAGGTGGTCCCAGCGAAGTAGACGGTTGGGTTTCTGTAGGATTCATATAAATCCCTGGGCACCTGCCCCACCGAGGGTATAAAGAAAGGGTGGGAGGTTTGGAGCCTGCCCCACTTTAGGATATTGATGTGAGAGGGACCTTCGGCATCCCTGTACGAGGAAGGGCACCAGGACCCAAAGACTACCATAGGAGCAGAGGACTCTGGCCTACACTAACAAGCTTCCATTTCCAGGGTCTCAGAGAAGATGGCGGGGTTCTCTCAGCTCTGCCAACCCTTTGAAGCCAAATGAAATGAGCTTTCCTTGCCTCTGCTTGATCAGCTTTGACAGGGGGAGGGCAGAGGGAGCTGTAGAAAGGGGAGAGTGTCCCTGAGGGTCCCACCCACCTTCACATAAAGGAGGCACTGCTCTTCAGCCCTCCCCACTCTGCTCACAGAACCTAACCCTGGAGGCAAGCCAAGAGCCAGCATGGCGAGGACTCTCTCCTGTTTGTGTCTGAGTTCCTGCCTCCTCACACATTTATCTTGTCCAAGGCTCACTTTTCCCCTTTATTCACTTATTCACGTATTCATTCATTCAGCACCTGTTAATTGAGCATCTGCTGAGGCAGGGAACTGTGCTGAGCATTGGGAACGTAGCAGTGAACAAAGCAGATGTGGACCTGCAGCCTTTGTGGTCCACGGGAGCCCCATTTATTAAAGAAACACACCCCTTCCAAACAGGTCCTTGAAACTG